AGTGCTGTAGTGAAAAAGCTAGAAGGTGAAATAACGTAAGGTAAGACAGTTCTGACAGAAACAGAAAGGGAAGTGGAAATTTCCAAATTTGACTTATTTGTTCCAAGTTTGGAATGGAGAGCAGTCCAATGAATATGAGGGTTTTTTACTCTTATCATTGCTTTCAGTTTGCAAACAGTACGTAATTGATGGCACTCCTCTACTTAATATTGTGTTTTCTTTGCACTGAAATAAATGATGTGGAGTAACATAATTAAGTTTGTAAAATTCCACCACAGGGGACAGTGACATAAATAATATAGCTTTTGTCAGAAGCCAAACTGCCACAGTTTGGAAATAGCATCGCATGCAACAGACATGGGTTGAAACAGAAATTGGTGCGTTCTTACACCCCTAGCAGAGACCCCTTTACCCAAACTGTGGGTAAAGAGCTATAGATACCCTTTCCCTCCTTCCAGTGAGAATTCTACAGGTCTACTCTTGAATAACGTGACTTTCAGCTCATGATTAGGTATCATTGGCACCCAAGCATAGGTATCCCCTTCCTCAGCTTTATTTACTGCCAGTACTTTGTACAGTTGAATGCTTTCTAGGGTGACACACCCTATTGCCAAGTGGGAGTCGCTCACACCAAGTTCCCTCCTGCTTGGGAACAAAGGTTTAATTGGGCATTTGCACATGGAGAGTATCGTCTGAGTCACTTAGACTGTATGCGTGTTGAGTGATTTATTAAAAAGTCATTTCTGGGGATTTTTTTAGCCTCAGTTACTGCATTGTGCGTTTTGGTCTCTGGACAGGGTTTCTTTTGCAGGGTGACTCACTTTCTCATGTTTAACTTTCTAGTGTATGCTGGATTTAAAAAGAAAATAAAACAACATCTTTAAAAGAATTCAGAATGTTAACTGTTTGCACTAGAGAAAGGACTGTGGAATGTGATTTTCTGTCACTTACCTTTGTTTTTGCACTTCTAGCAAAGTACAGGTGATTAATTTTTTCAGCAATTGAATGGTAATATCAGTAAATATATTTACACAGTACTAACAGTATCACACAAACATTTAATAATTGCCAAAGGAATAGCTGAGGCAAACTAAGACCACCCACTCAGTTCATGACACATACAGTACTGTATTTGAACTTCCTGGTTTATAGCTGAATCTTGTTATACTACACAAACCCTCAAATTAGAAAGCATAACTCAGAAACACATTAGTAAGAAGAGTTGGGCTTTTTGCTGCTTTAACGCTTATTGAAAGGGAGCAATAGAGGAGAACTGGAGACTGAACCGGTTCAGTTCATCCATCATGACTCTGCTCTACTGCACTCATGCAAGTGACTTCCTTCCAGGGCGAGTGACTGACTCCCATGAGCAGTGCAACATTAGAAGAGATTGCTCATGGAAGATGCAAGAGGAATGCTTGTCAGCAAGGGAGTTCTGTGTCCCTAATGTGGTCAATTCATCAAAGGCGCCATTTTGCCTGCTAATGCATATTGTTCTCTGAGGTAGCATGGGAAGTAGGCTTCTCACATGATGCACATTGAAGCTGATTCTTAGCATAGGAGCATATCCCAGACTCTCCTGAATGGCCCCAGATATTCTGCTTTGCACCCAGATGTCAGCTCAGTGGGCAATGATCATTTATGACACTGAGCAGGCAGGACAGAAAACCTCAGGGGTGGAAGCCAAATGTGGACCTCCAGTGCTAGGCCATGTCCATACCAGCCTTGAGTCCTTTCCCTTGGCTGGAATGTGTCACTGAGCTGTGATAATGCCTCTTATTGGTGCATGGAGAGTGGTGTGTGCAGGATGTGTATAGAAATACTTTTGCATTGCTGGAATGCATCCTATTATATAAAAAGGCAAGAGTCACATCCATTGCTCCACCCACTTTCACCTCTGATCATACCCATTATTGTCATGTGGCCATGGATGGTTGCATATGCAGGAATGCAGCCCTCAGCAGAAAAAGATTTCCTACCACCCTCTTTTTTTGCTGGCTCCACTTCAGGTTCTGATTCAAGTCTCCAGTCCCAGCAATGACTGGCAGGGGTTGCAAAATCACAAGACTGATTCTAGCTCTGCTCTTAATCCAAACCCATAATCCAACCCCTACCAGGACCTGACCTTGACTTTGATAGCAATAACCCTTGGGAAGGCTGTAATAGTAAGAATCTTGTCCGAGGAGTTTAAGAATTTCAGTGCACCCTTTCAGATCACATTTCCTGGCCACAAACTACATATGCAAGATATCTAATGAGTAGTTAAAAATAAAGACAGAGATCTACAACCCTTAGCATGAACCTTTCCATTAACATAACAGCCTAATGTCCTCAGGTCAATTTAAATCAATGAAACAACTTGCATGTCTAAAGTCTATTTGCTAAAAGGGTCTGCAAGATAGCCACAAAGGAAGCTCATAATACAGACCTAGTCACATTGGGAAATGATGGATCAAATAACATTAAGATCTGGAAGAATGCTTCAATAATAAAGCTGTTTAGCATTTTTTTACCATGGAGATTATTAAAGTTGTTTGCTGGGTATACACCATATGATTAAAGATATTACTCCTCCAAAAGAATCATGGGAAATGTGGTTTACCCATTCAATTTCCAGCACCCTTAACAAACTATAGCTTCTCAGATTCTTTGGGGAAAACGGGCTTTAAACGTGTGTGTGTTTGTTGTGCAGCTTAGGGCTTCCAGGCTCCTTTGCATATGAGAGGAAGGCTTTTTCTATTTTGTCCTCAAGTCACAGTCCCAATCTACTGTAGAATCCTGTTCTGAGGGCAAAATATAGCTGTCATCAAAACCCAGTTTGCTAAATTCAGATGAAACGACAAACTTTAGTTTGCCCCTAAGTGGAAGCAGAATTTTCCCCACATGCACTAAGGAAAGGCAGGAGGAGGCCAGCAGGGAACACCTGAGCCTGAGAGCATCTGCTTCTCCTTCTCATACCAAGAAACCATGGTTTGCCACTATGAGTTGAGTCTTAATGAGTATTTTTAAAATTTTTTTTAAAAAGAAGGGTCACAAGCTAAAAAGAAAAGTTTTCTGGAGAGGTGAAGATGGTATACTGGAACCAGAGCGAATAATGCCAGATCATGTTTTCACAGTGAGCTGTAGTCTTGAAAAAAAATAAATACACAAAGTTCTGCAAGATTAGAGAATGATTTTAATGAAGCTGTTTGAAGTTGTTGTGTAAACACTCATTTTGGATTCAAGTGATTCAACCTGGGCTTGAAGTTGATTCCAAGAAGGCAATTATAATCTAAGACAGTTAGGCCCATATAAAGAAGTTCATATTCTGATTACCATTACTAAATTAAGATGGGGGCAAATGCAGTGGTTTCAGAATGAGTTCCAGATTCTCATTAGATGGCCGCTCTCGGCCAAGTAATTGCTCTTGTTTTGTCATTTGCAGACTATCTCCTCAGGGATGACAATGGTATACAACATCGTCTGATAAGGCTAGGGAGATGAACCCTTTAGGAATTTATTTTAAAAATGCACAGTGCGCTCTCGCTCTCTCACACACACTCTCTGTATTTTTGTAAACTGGGATGACCATATGAATATATACTGTACTTTCATCTTTAGGAATATATTATGAAGCATATAGGGAGACAGGGTTCTTGGCGTACGTGTTGGGATGAAAGTACTTTTTAATGCAGCAATTTTCAAATCACAAACTACATGTCTCCTTATGCAGAATAATCTATGCATATATTTAAAGGATTTCATGGAGGCTATTTCTTGCTACTTGAAGGTCAGATTGAAAGGCCCTTCTTCAGGTCCTACTATTGTCAGAAGGTTGTGACCAGAGTTAGTCTTGAAACTGTGTCTCCCCATCATTTTACCTGGCTGTTGTCTTTTCAGTGCCAGGTCACGTGAACACTTTGTCATTCTCTAAAGCTGCACACACACTACACCCTGCACACTATACATTTGGAGCACATTCTTCCCCTCAAAGATTTATGGGCACTGTAGTTTAATCTTTATAGATTTACAATTCCCAGCAACCCTTAAACTGCAATATGCAGAATTCTTTGAGGGGGAAATCGTGCTTCAAATGTGCTTTGAAGGTATAGTGTGAACACAGCCATTGTTTGCTCTAGGAAAGACAATCAAAAGTTTTGTGGTACCTTTAATACCACCACACTTATTATGGCTCAAGCTTTTGTGGTTTGCTTTGTGAGATGAATGAAGTGTTAATCCCAAGTTTCAGGCATACATGTCTTGTGGAGAGAGTGGAATCCAAAGGAGGTTCAGCTGGACAGTTTGCTAGTGGTCTTCATGAAAACAGTGAAAACCCTTTTTCTTGAGGCTTTTATAATGTGACGGATGGCTGATTGTAGTTCATTGATTCTGTCAGCCGACTTGTGGCTGCTGATCTGCTGATCTGATTTTTTTTTTAACTGTTTGATTGTTTCTCATGTTTTATTAGGTGTTGAGTGGGTCACTCACTGTTAGCTGGTTAGTGGTAAATTTTAATAGAAATGAAAAAAACGAAAGCAAGTACGCAAACTTGTCATGGGAATCAGCCTCCACATTGCATTGGGAAAAGAGAGTTCCTTGTATCTCCCAGCTGTGGTAATGGCCTTTGAACAGATCTATTGTCATTCCTTATGAGTGTGAGGAGACAGAACATTTCTGCCTTGTGATGTGCAGGGGAGGGCAATCCTGTTCAGCCACAGGAAAACCTTTCAGGAACCACATGCCGGAGGGTGATGGCAAACATGAGTAAAGCAACCAATGCAACTCTCTCCTTTTGTACAATTAGCTACCTTCCAGCCACACAAAAGAAGTTCATAGGCTATGCTTATTCCACACATTTAAAGTGCATGACTTCCCCCAAAGAATCCTGGTGTTAGAAACTGGAATAGTTAGAAACCGGAATAGGAATGCTAGGCACCTTTTGTGACTGGGTAGAGATGTCCAGGTACAACCCTTGGCGCCTGGCCTCTCCACTTGCCTGGCTGCAGTCAGCTGGTCTGCCTGCGTCTTTTGCTGCCGTGCTATCCTCCCCAAGCACCTGATTTGCCCAGCAGCACAGCAGCAAAAGATGTGTCTTTTCTTTTCTTTTTTGCTGCCGTGCTGCTGGGTGAACCAGGTGTTTGGCGGGGATAGAGCAGTAGCAAAAGATGCACATCTTTTACTGCTGTTGTGCCTGGCAGACCAGCTGACTGCAGCCTGACAGGTGGCTAGGGGCCAAGGGTGGTGCCTGGACATCTCCATCCAGTTGCAAAAGGCCGGGGTGTTATTTGAAAATACAAAATGTAATTTGAATTTTTGATCATTGCTAAAATTTGTTGTAAAATCTCAATAAAAATAATTAAAAATAAAGGTATGGTGTCTATGCAGCTACACACAACTTTTCCATGCAGGCAAGCAGGAAACATAATCACAGTTCAAGAACACAATCCAGACAGGCAAAAGGACTGAAGAGGGATGTGGAGCAGCATTGGTGTGTGGTGTGGCCTGGCCTGGGGAGGGTCTCAAAGTCTGACCTGGAGGGCTGCATTATGATCCACCCTCTGCACTAGTAGGCCCACTTTAATATAGAAGTGTCACCTGGGGTGCTGTAAAAGCCTCTGTGATACCAGAACTAGACACAGTTCTAATTCTGATACAATGTTGTTGTTGTTGTTGTTGTTGTTGTTTGTTGTTTAGTCGTTTAGTCGTGTCCGACTCTTTGTGACCCCATGGACCAGAGAACGCCAGGCACTTCTGTCTTCCACTGCCTCCCGCAGTTTGGTCAAACTCATGCTGGTAGCTTCGAGAACACCATCCAACCATCTCATCCTCTGTCGTCCCCTTCTCCTTGTGCCCTCCATCTTTCCCAACATCAGGATCTTTTCCAGGGAGTCTTCTCTTCTCATGAGGTGGCCAAAGTATTGGAGCCTCAGCTTCACGATCTGTCCTTCCAGTGAGCACTCAGGGCTGATTTCCTTAAGAATGGATAGGTTTGATCTTCTTGCAGTCCATGGGACTCTCAAGAGTCTCCTCCAGCAATTCTGATACAATACCTGTGATAAATTTAACACGTCAAATGCTCCATCCCCCTTTTTATTTATGCAGGCAAGAGCCGTATTGGCAGAATTTGGAGTCGCTATACTTGACTGTCTCCAGTACCAGTCTCTATTATTATTATTATTACTGCAAAATATTTTTGTGCCTTGTTTCCCCACGGTTGCATTAATAAGTCTTGTGAGAGCTCAGACACGTTCATCTACAGGGACATAAAATCTGAGTTTATGAGGATTGTGTTTCACTGTCGAACTAAGTGGAGTTGGCAGCATCTTAGCTTCTTTTGCAGCATGCGGGCACTGAGAGGTTGCCCATGAGGCAAATCTTCACTGTGTCACAGGTTCATGTTGTAACATGATAGCACACTGAGTGTTACAACATGGTTGGTCTTGCTGAGAGAGAATTTGGCGCAAAGGCATTAGCACAATGGGATTGGGACTGGCATTCCCTGCTTTTCTTTACCCTACCCTGCTCTGACTGCATGCTGCACCATTGGGTGGGTTGCCTCACTGTTCTCCCTCCCTTCTTTCCCCATCATAGAACTGGGACAGTGGTGTTAGTTGTGAAAATCCACATCTTTACATCCTGTTTCTCCAAGCAGGAAAGGCTCAAATGATGTGACATGGAATGCATTTGTAGAACATGCACAGACAACACCCATTCAGGGTGGGTTTGGGTTTGGGAAGAGCTATGAGTCAGAGTGGTCAAAATGAATATGTATTGAAGACTCCCACACTAGGTCTTTCTCTCACACATGGCTGCCTTCTTCCCATGTATGTGTGGTGACTTCAGTGAATGACATAATGATGAGGCGCAAGCCTTAGTTCTCTAGACCTCCCTATAACCTTTCCCTCTGTATCAGTGTTTCCAGTTTCCTGTGTTCCTGCCAGTTTCTAAACAGCCAAGCTCAAAAGAGTCACTTCAGGCAGTATTTTTAGTTTTTAGGCAACAAAAGATAACTTTGTTACATTTTAAGGGTATGTAGCCTTTCACCTGGCTAAGAATGATGGATGTTGCATGCACTGTTGGGCATTGCCCAAATAATATTACAGTGTTACCTTGGTTCTTGAACTTAATCTTTTCTGGGAGTCCGTTCGACTCCTGAAACTGTTTGAAAACCAAGGCACGGCTTCCGATTGGTTGCAGGAGCTTCCTGCACTCAATTGGAAGCTGCGGAAGCCGTGTCGGACATTTGGCTTCCGAAAAACGTTCACAAACCTGAATACTTCTGGGTTCGTGGCATTCGGAAGCCGATTTGTTCAAAAACTAAGCCGTTCCGTAACCAAGGTACCACTGTATAGATAATCAGGGGTCCTGATTTAACCCACAAAACCATTCTGCTGCTCCAGCTGGGGTTGGGCAATGTACAGTGGTGCCTCGCAAGACGAAATTAATCCGTTCCGCAAGAGTCTTCGTCTAGCGGTTTTTTCGTCTTGCGAAGCAAGCCCATTGACGGATTAGCGCTATTAGCGCTATCAGCTGTTTAGCGGCTATTAAAGGCTTAAAGGCTTAGGGGATTAGCTGCTAAAAGGCTATTAAAGGCTATTAAAGGCTTAGCAGATTAGATAAAGGGGAAAAGCGAAAAAAATCTCAAGACTCGCAAGGTATTTTCGTCTTGCGAAGCAAGCCCATAGGGGAATTCGTCCTGCGAAGCAACTTCAAAACGGAAAACCCTTTCGTCTAGCGGTTTTTCCGTCTTGCGAGGCATTCGTCTTGCGGGGCACCACTGTATTGATATATTGTCCAAAATTGGTTTGAAGTCCACATTGCGGGAGCGGTTTCATAATATGCAATGTGGCAATATATCGCAAATCACAGTGTGTGTGCGCTACGTAAAAAAATCGCAATATGGGAAAAACCATGAAGCTGGGCATAACTTCTCTCATAATTGTTGCTTTAGACTATATAATAACAGTTGTAACAATATGTTAAAAGCAAAAAATAAAAAAATAAAAATCAGTTTAAGTAGTAGCAGTGGCCAGGATGTTACCCTATTTGCGTCTACATCGTTCCATTCTTATCTCAGACATTGTGATATATAGCTGGTGATATATCACGATGTTGTACACTAGACATTGCTCAGCCCTACCCCCAGCCATGCCTACCTGCCCCATCCTTGATATGGTAAATGGCATCAGGGGATCAGGGGTGAGGCAGGTAAAGGTGTGGCTGCCTCATCTTTGAAGTCCATATGCAGGCAGTTTGTAGTGAGACCTCTTGCAAACAAACTTAATATCCCCTCACCCTTCTGTCAAACTGGGTCCCTGTGGGGTAGGAGGAGGAAGGATCCAGTGCCCCACTCATGGATTAAGGCATCAGTTTGACCTTTTGAACAATGCTTTGGCATGATATGAGCAGCCATGGTGAGTATAATAATTTAGTAGGATTTTTTAAAAAAATGCATTTTCACTTTCTACGGTATCCATTTGCTTTTTATATATTTTTTTAATGATTGAAGATTGTTGCAAGCTTTTACTTTGAGTAATATCATGGTGTAGGACAGTAGCTTTCTTTTTTTAAAAAAGAAAAATCAACAGCCAACGCATGTATCCACATGTAGATTTGCTGTGCAAAATGCTGAGGTCTGGATTAGCTGGTCCTGTTTAACAGCAGTGTTTTTCTTAGTAGCTGGGATAGGCTGCATTGGATTTTGGGAGTGGGGAATAACTATTGGGTTTTTACATATACTGTAGTTAGCCATTGCACAATGGCTATATTATTATTATTTATTTATGAGAGATATAGATATTGGGAGTGCCCCATAAGTTGTTAGTGCTACACTACTGAACTGGCATTAATTAATTTCAGTGTTGATGACCTAGTGTGGCACAGTGGGTACATTGGGTTTTGATGGGAGAGACCTAGCTACAAATCACTGCTCCACTTCCAAGCCCAGCGTGTGCCTAGGGCATGCTGCCCTCTCTGAAGTCAAGTGGGGCCACCACCTAGCTAAAGCTCAGGAAATCTGAGTCTGGTATGACCATCCTGAATGGGTGACCATCTAGATACCACCTGGGTTTCACAGTAGTAGAAAGGCAAGATATGAATGTAAGAAAATGAGTAAAACACCTGACTTGGAGAACTGTAAAATGCACTTACATTCTCAGGTCTTTGCTGGCTGTTAAGGGCTGCCCTGGTTTATTTTGCGTTGTCCTTTTAACATCTGGTTGTTGTTTTCAACAGAACACCACCGTGTGATTTCAAAAGGAAGGCAGTATATTGATATTTTAAATATAATAATGATTAAAATATGTTGAATTGTATGTCTTGAGCACACTTGTGTCCATGCATATACTAATGTTTTTACTGAACAGACACTAGGGATGAGTGGAACAGAACAGTTGCATTCCAGAATAATTTTTGGTTCTGCTCCTTTTGGTTCTGCTTTGGTTGACTCCCAGTTGAATGCACATCTTGTTGCTGCTTAACGTGCTGTCTCTGGGTTCATGTGGTAATGGTAAGCCAGAGTTCAACAAGCTATGTCTTACCAGGAATGAGTGAGCATGCTGCTCCTACACACTGCTCAAATCCTTCCCTCCTGTACCCTTTGCGATGCCAGGAGGAAACAAACCAGAGTGCTGGCTTAGTCTTGTGTACAAACCAGTCTTTGAGGTTTGTATCTCTCCAAACAAACCATAAGAACAAGCCAAGAACAAATAACCGTCTATTCTTGGCTTGATCTCATTGTTTATTTGAGAGAAACAAACCTTGAGTGCTGGTTTGCATGTAAGCCAGTTGTTGTGGCTTGTTTCCTCCTAATGTGGCAGAGGGTAGTGGGTGCAGTTGGAGCATTGTGCACCCAGTGTGCTTGCACATTCCTAATAAGCATGTCCAAAGTCTTTTTCGGGGGCCCATCAGTTGATTTAATCTGGCCCCCGAGGCAGTACATGTCCTGGGGTAAAATCCTAAAAAGCTCAACAACTTTGGTCAGCCCTCACGCATGTTCACTTCATCAAATCGGGCCCTCTTTGAAAAAAGTTTGGGCACCCCTGTGTTTGGCTCACAGTTGAATGCAAACCAGTAATGCGTTAGTAAATAAAAAGAGCACCAGAGTGTAGTGAGGGATGAGGCAGTCATAGTTAGCAACCAGTTCTTAGCTGTACAGAGGGGTGTCAACCTGGGACACAGGCATGCTGCAGGAGAGAGCCAGAAAACTGCTAGAAAAGAAGTCGCAGCAATTTGCAAATACTAATTTTGCAATACTAATTAAAAAGGAAACAGAATAACATTTGCAGTCCTTTTCAAGTATAGAATGGTCCTAAACTGTGTATGTATCTCCCTCCCCCTTTGTAGAAATAAATCATGGATCAGTGTTGCAATTGATGGTTTAACTTAATATGTAACAAGAAACAAGAGCCTTTTTGTTAGTGAAAGTTCTCTTGTTTTTAAAACTCTTGCTAACTGTAAATATAGTTCTGGAACAAATGATCCTGCACTGTTAAGAACCTTTTCAGACTAATCTTGATCAAACAACCCATTGCAGAGCCCTCTGCACTCTTTATTTATTGCTGAGAGAAAAAGTTAAATGCTGTATGCAAGAATCTTGCCACTTTGTTCATCATGTAGAGTGTGCGTACTTTTAAGTCTGTTTCTTGCATCTAATGGAAGAGACTGAAACCATAAGCCAACCAATGTCGATAATGCAGTGGTGGGGAAATCTTACGCCCAGGGAGCAAATCTGCCCCCAAGGTCCCTTTATCTTTTTCTTGCCCTCAGAACTCATCCCAGACTGCACCCTTCACTGGCCTTTCTTCACCCCCAAGTGTTTTTGTCTAACTGGAATCTGCCCTTCTGATGCCTCTTTCCTATCTGGATGGAAGGATGAGGGGGCTATGTGAGTGTCTGTAGAAATTAGCTTACTGTGCCAAGGCAAAACTTACATTCAGTGCTCAACCCACTTTTTCCTCTGGCCCTGCCCACCACTGACATGTGGTCTTTGGAAGGGAATGGAGCGCAGAAGAGAATGTGGCCCTCTTGACAGATCAGGGTTAGGGAATCTTTATCAAAGAGTTGTCACAGTACTAGTTTATGGTATTATCAAGGTACTGGTGGGACATCATAGTCTTCAGAAAAATATTACAATATGACATCAAAACATGTGAATTCTAAGTTTGAATGAGCTAGTGTACAGAATTACACTAACAGCTCAAGCTTCATGAGTGCAGGAGGAATATTATGAAGGGGGTGTGGAGTACTCTGTGAGTCAGGATGATGAGCTTGAGCCAATCAAGTTTCAAATAAAAGAAAAATCCACACCGTTGCCTGCAATTTACTGGAGAGTCCTTTAGCTACTGTAGGATGATTTGGAATGGACTTAATTTTAATTATTCTACTGCTGCTTTGATTTTATATGATTGTGGAGAGAGTGAATGAAGTCTGTTATCCCTCTCCTTTACTAAAATTTGATGAAATTGATTTGCCAGTACATTCATGATAGCAAGCAGAGAGTACCTCTTCTTCACATAACATGCAATTAATGTACAGAATTCACCACTACCACAAAATGCAAGGATGGCTATTAACTTAAGCTTTTGGTGGATTTTAAAAAGAGTTGAATGCAGGGATTGGCCACGATACCTACCGGTAAATGGTACCTCCATGTTTGCAGGTAGTATATATCTGACTCTCCTGGAGACAGGACTGTAGGAAGCTGCTTTATACTGAGTCAATCAGTTGCTCTCCAGGGTTTTAGACAGGGGGTCCTTCCCAGCTTTGGCTGGAGTTGCCAGGAATTCATCCTGGGGTCTTCTGCATGCAAAGTGGATGCTGTACCACTGAGCTATGGCCCTTTCCAGATATATAATGTGGAAGGGCTGTTGCCTTCATACTCCAGTTTTTTTGTCCATGGAGGCATCTGGCTTGATGCTTTTAGCAGCAGGATGCTGGACTTCATACATCCCTTGTCTGGACCACAGGAATCTTCTATTCTTACTGTGCCTTTAAAAAAATGTTAATGATCTTTCATTTGATTGCATTGTACGTATGGGGTTTGTATTTTAGCGTGTAAGTTGATTTGTACATAAACTTTAAAAACCCCAAACCAAATATATTTGAAATCCAATTTCTTGCCTAAAGATAACAAAAACAACTTCATCACAAATCACCTGTTTTGTAGCTTTATGTAAGTATCTTTCCATAGAAAATGTGCATGATATTTGTCCTATAGATGCTGAGAAAATTAGGTATGTTCTTTACTGCGATGGTGGCCATTTTGATGATGTCATCTCAGCTGTCTGCTACACATAAGAGAGAGGGGCCTTAGATACCCTTCAACTCTGAAGGACTGTGAATCAAACAAACCCATCTGTATTTAATTATCTCTAACTTTACCATGCAATAGGCAACATTATGTTCCCTGGCTGCATATTTTTAAACAGAGAAGTTATAAATATATGTATGGTGAAGGGAGGAGGAGGAGAAGTTGAACATAGTGTGTTGTCTTGCTCAGGGTCTACATTCTCCTTGAAAGTTGTATAATGATGTTACTTTGCCTGTAAGGATTTCTGGCGCTAAAAGACCAGCTGCTCAGGCTCCACTGTGATGTCCCAGAGTTCTGACCTGGTTCTGCTTATAGATAACCTCAGCTTCAAAAAAAGCTAAAGTCTTAATACCAAAGTGGAATGCACTGGGTTCATGTTACAAAAGTCCTATAAAAATAATATTGAGTGTCCATTTTAATATCTAGCGGGATCAGAAAGCCCTGTACAATGCTTTCCTGAAAAAGCCTCAGTATTCCAAATCATTACTGGAATATGCAGCAGCTCCATGTTGGGAATTTAAAGGTGATATGGACGTCATTTTGTAGAAAGAAAGAAACTGTGTGGTTCTTCCTTCCCAGTTTGGTTATGGTGCAACACTTTAAGCATTCAGTGTGTGGAATAAATGTAAATGCCCCCCTGTTTTGTTGGGGAAGCTATAGTTTTCTCTCTGTGGTTTGTTTTCCTCTATGGCTCTATGGCAGGGGTGGACTCCCAGCCCCCATCAGCCCCAGCCAGCATGGCCAGTGGTCAGGGATGATGGGAGCTGTAGTTCAACAGCATAGGGAGGCGACAGGTTTGCCATCTCTGCCCCCATAGCTTCCCAACATCTGGCTCCACAGTTATGTTCCTCCTGGCCTCATTTGAATAACAAAGCCATGAGCAGTGGGTTAGCTTCACCCCCCCCCATTTTTGAGCCAGCAGGACAGGTAGCTAGCTACATCCAAGAGTGCTGACAGCATAATTTCCGGAACACTAAATTTTCTAATGTGCTTGGTAAGGATGTTCTGCAGCTGTGAAAATTTTGTGTATGCTGATCTACAAAACTGAAGGTGTTAAGTCATTGTGACAGATACAAACATTTTTCTATTTTTATTTTTTCTTTGCAGGTATATGTGAGGGGAACATGCACACACATCTGGTATAATTGGCAGCAGTAGCTAAATGCAAATCCATGGCCAGTTTAGCATATACCTAGTTAAGGGATTTTTTGCGAGAATTTTGGGATGCCTAGAAAGCGAGACTTGGGTTTTGGACTAGGGGAGAGATCTGCATAAAAAATGAGCCGGTGGGAGTTGTAGTTAAGAACAACTGGAGGGCATCGGGTTGGCAAATGCTGTATTCAGGTTTAAACTGGTTGTTGAGTTTGGTACAAATGGAGGAACTTTATGTACTTCTTTGTTTACGGATCTGCAAGATGTAGACACACACCCACTCACCTCACACACACTAAACCTGCTTAGGATCTCGCTCCTGTTGCCAAGATACAAAGTAGATATCTCTCTTTAACCAAAGAGGATCTGGCATAATTTGTCCTGTTTTGCAGATGACATGTGGTTAGGACCCTCCCCGCCAGGAGGTATTATGCCAACTGTCACTGAGCTGGTTCTTAGCAGCCATTTCTGATAAATTGCTTTTGAATCATTAGTGAGTTTGTATCGGTAAGTTCAGGTTATTTAGTCAGAAGCTTATATACGGTACATCAAATACAGAGTAGGGCTATCAGGACAACCATAGAGAAGGGAAAAGGGGGAACCAGTATACATACACACAAAAATGAGTGGGCAAAAGTCCATACAGGAATTGATATGTTAGGGTTCCCCGCCCCTTTACTGATATGCTTGTGTGTGTGTGTTTGTGTGTGTGTGTGTGAGAGAGAGAGAGAGAGAGAGAGAATATGAAATTGATAGAATGTTACAGTGGTACCTCTGGTTACGTACTTAATTTGTTCTGGAGGTCCATTGTTAACCTGAAACTGTTCTTAGCCTGAAGCACCACTTTAGCGAATGGGGCCTACCGCTGTTACCGTGCCGCCGCTGCACAATTTCTGTTCTCATCCTGAAGCAAAGTTCTTAATCCGAGGTAATATTTCTGGGTTAGCGGAGTCTGTAACCTGAAGCGTATGTAACTCGAGGTACCACTGTATTTGAATGCTCCATCGTGAGTCGCCTTGAGGTCAGCTTTGTTGCTGGAAAAGTGGCATGCAACTATCAAAGCAAAGCAAGTTCAAATGGATCCATGACATATTTCTGGCACCTGAAAGGCAGCTTTTTGCAGGAAAGGGGAGAGGTCAGGGGTTAGACAGCTGGTTCCAAAGCCAATATGTGAAAGTACTGAAAGCAAAGCAAAACAAAACAAAACAAAGTTTATGCTTCAGGATGATGTGACAATTCTCCTGACTCATTATCTAAGAGCATACATGGGTATGTTTTGTAGTGCATCTATTCTTTGTGGAAGAGCCTAGGTTTTTTTTTGCAGTCATCATAATCAGCAATAAGAGTGACCCATCTGAGAGTCCCGACAACATACTACTACTATTTTGCCAAACCTTTATTAGGCATTACAAATATAGGCCACCATAAAGCATCCATTTATACAATTTAAAAATATATACAAATAAACAGTCATGTAAAAATATGTGATGAGGATTTCCACCTGAGTTTCTTCCTGCTAAATAGTGCCATTCACCACTCTGAGAGATACTATTGTTAAAAACTCAGTCACTCTTGCAGTTACTTCCAGGTTAATGTCAGTCAGATAGAATCTGATATTTTCATTGTTCTGTGATGTTAGACTACCCTAAAAAGGGGGATAGCACACGTTTACATAGCCAGTTGTACAATGGGCTGTAGAAAGGAATATGTTCTACTGTGTCCGGCACATTCAAAAAACATCTGCAATGTCTAGCGTTTCTGGAGATTTTAAAATATCTGCCCTTGACAAAAGCTGGGGGGGAAACATTCCATTGGGCTAACATAAAGGCGTTGCATTGGACTGGAATTACAAATTTGAAATATAAGTGAGCCTGTTATCTGTTGTCTTTAAAAAATAAAACTTGGGGATGAATATTTATTTACAGCTGACTTGAGGTTTTGTTTTTCAATGTCCCTTAATCTGATTTGAATATTATGATAAATACGATATATTGCTCACTTGAATTATACAAGAGTTCTAAGTCAATACCAATAGATCTGATTTTGCTATGTAGGAGTTGAAACCATCTGGATTTATAAAAGTCCTTAAGTAAGAAAGCAGACTAGAAGGTTGGCAACGGAAATGGCAACGCAACCAGGTTTTTTTTATAGTGCTAGCCCACACCCAATATTCCATTGTGTGTATACCTAGTTCTGCACGCATCATCTCATACCTGGGAATATATATATTTTCTTATTTGTGTAACCTTATTTGCAGAGAATTGCCACCAAGTAAATGTCACTGGCTTATTCCACACTCCATTCATGCTGAATGAGGGCAAGGAAAACACTGGGTTAAAGGAGAATATAAGAGGATCTCTCAGTGCTCTGCTTGCCATCATCTTGTATTTGCCAGTTTGTGCTCTGTGATCGTAAAACTTGATGCAAGGAAGGGAGGTGATGCTTGATGTCAACACCAGATCAGTTACTGACAGCAAGTGCCAGTTTAAAGAGACGTTTAGGGAGATGTGCAGTGCTTCAGGCAAAAATGTTCTTGTGTTGCAAGCAAGATTCTGATCAAAGTATAAAGCAAATGTATCTGGTGTAAAGAATAATAATAATAATAATAATAATAATAATAATAATATAATAATAATAAATGGTTGTGCCCACAAAGAAGGGGTTTTAAGTCTGATAAAGGCAAGGAGCTTACCATTTTTAGGAATTTGTTGGCCACTCTTGCCCCGTCCCCAGAATGGGAACCTGGATTACTTTGGTCAAAAAGCAGAGGGCCCAGCCTCTTGGCCATTGCTCAGGAGTGGAGTACATGCTTTGCACATAGAATACCCCAAATTCAGTCCCTTGCAGCAACAAGTAGGGCTGTGAATGACCCCTGCCTGAAACTGTGGAGAGCCGTTGCCACTTGCTGCAGACAATACTGAGTTAAATGGACCAATGTTCTGACACTATAAGGCTCCTTCCATATAGGAGTAACATATTTAGGAAGGTCAAGCAAGTACCTACTTGGTATGGTTTTGGGTTGAGTAGGTGTGTGGGAGAAAAAGCAAGAATTGGCATCTGAGAATTTTTAATAAATCCCCAAAATCTCATCATTATCTAGATCAAAGATGAGGAATATACTTTTCCCCAACTCCCAGCCTAGTGGTTAGGGATGGTGGGAATTGTAACCCAACAACATTCAAAGGGCCACATCTTCTCAGTTCCTGCCCTGGAGAGAACATGGGGAAGCTGTAGTTTAGCTAGCAGAATCTAACCTTCAGATTTTGACTTAGGTTTGGTTAAGAGGCTTCACTGGAGCTGGTTAGGTAAAGTCTGAGGCTGTGTGCCATTTTTCTCCCAAGCCTTTGGGAGCTTTCCCCACCACCAGTTCCAAGACA